GGTTGTAGTGGTCCATCAGATTATTACATGTCTGTTTGACGAGCTACTTATATTGTAGGGAGAAATTAGTTTTTGAATATACTTGGTAGTTCTAAGGTGGTTAATGATCATAGTTCAGAATTTTCTGCATTTTGTATCGCATTTTCCTTACCCATAACAAAGTATGTTTTGTGTTACAGGGTTACTAGGTGCTTCTGGAACTGCAGACAAGGGAACACCTGTCAAGTTTAGTGTAAGGAATTAGAGTTCTCATAAGCATTGTCCTGCTTAAAGCTGCTCAAGGTTACTTTCCCCCAAAAAACATGGCTTGCTTTTATTGCAATTTTACAAAAAGTACTTTATTAATCCAATTGTTGTAGGGGTGACATTTGAGCTTACACTGTACATTGTAAGTCACTGTATTTTTCTTCCAGGTTGTTCAAGGAAATGATTCCATGGTAAAGAATGGCATCACCACCAATATCAGTGTCAGACATCAGTGTATCACTGTCATGTCCAATTATGACAAGAAGAGCATAGAGGTGGGTTATAAAATTATTTATAGTGGAGCCTCTCCCCACTCCGTGTTGTAGGTTTTACTTATTTTCTCTTAAAACTTTATGCACAACCTTCATTTATTTTGTGTTCATGTCAGGAATTGTGTTGAGTGCTCTTAATGACTTCTGAGTTGTGTTTGGTTTCCTATCATTTTAGGAATGCATAGGGGTTTTCAAATTGAAATAAAATAACAAAACTGCACACATTGTATTAATAAACATAAAGTACCCAGCGCAAAATGCTTTAAGCGGCGGGTAACTTGCGTCAAGTGCCAGCTTACATGTATTTTGAAAACCCTGAATGCATTGGAGTCAATTTTTATAATCTTGCTCAAGTTGGTGACAAGGTGTACATGTACCTTCCATTTCATGAACAGGAGCTAAGAATAGAAGATTATGAAGCTGGACGTAAAACTGGAGCTGCTGCTTCAACTGGTTTTACTGGTTTGTCTACAAGCACAAGCACTGGAGGTCTGTTTGGAAATACTTCTGGAACAGGATTTGGTGCTTCATCATCACTGATCGGTCAAAAACCAACCACTGGATTTGGAACAACAGGTATGGGCTGAAGCAATCCTGCACAGGGGTTCCATTAAGGGCCAGGCACCTGGCAAATTGAGCGGTTGTGAGGACAATTTTGCCTGGTAGCTGGTTTGACCATGTAGCAGAAAGTTTTTCTTTTAAAGAAGTTCAGATAAAGTAGTGTTGCCCACCTGTGAAAACCAGTTGCCCTTCTGCTGAAAATGTCAATGAAACCCCTGCCTGCATCATCTTAACTCTGTTATCTTTGGAACTGAGCTAGCCAGGTATTGCAGACTAATCTCAGATACAATGTACATCATGTCCTTCATCTGTAAATTATGAGGAAAATACATGTAGATTTTGCCATGGTGTACATGTACAAGTGTCAACAATAACTTACTTTTTTCAATATTTTATTTGTCACTGATTGTTGCTAAATTGCACAGTTACTTAAATTTATTGTATTTACTGGGGAAACTAAATTTGATTTTCAGGGAAGTGTTAGAAATAAAGCTACAAAGAGCATTGCTGCTGTAATTGTTGAATGATGAATTTCACCTCACTGGGGTCAAGTTTGCAACATACAACCTGAAGTAATTGTTGCAATGGTGTCAAAGATTTTTTATTCAATACAGAAAACAGACCCGTACTTACAAAATACATTGTGTTGCTTCTGGTTGTTACAAAAGCATGTTGAAATCTAGAAGTCTTTGACAATTGTGATGCTGCAGTATACCTGTAATCTCTGTGTGTTTTCTTTACTCCTTTTCAGGGAGCTTGTTTGGCAGTAGTACAGCAACCCCTGGACTATTTGGCCAGCAGCAAACAGCTGCAACAGCATTTGGTCAGAAGCCAGGGGGCCTGTTTGGTACTCCAACATCAAGTACAACTGGCACTGGATTTTCAGGATTTGGTACAACAAGTCTCTTTGGACAGAGCACCAGTGGTCAGACGGTATGCTGGCTAAAATAGAATGTATTGTAGTCAGACCTGATGATAAAAATGATAAAAACTTGCCTTCTTCAGGAATTCAAAGCAAAAAGTTATTTAATATGGCCACACATTTTTTATGAAAGTTTTACCTTTCCTGACCCCCCTTAGGTGTTTTCTTGTGTTCAATTGCCAGTCAGATCTTCGCTAAAGTTGTTGCTCATAAAAGCCATATGATTGTAATTATGTCTTTCTAACTTCTTACATTGTATGATAGTGTTGCTTGATTGAGGTTTAGCAAGTAAATACATGTAGCTGTACAGTGGTATCGCAATTTCTTAAGCCCCCATTTTTTTAACCTTCCAATGACTGTAATTTTTCAAACCAATTTTTGTTTCCATCAGAGGTTCAAAAATCTGGGATTCCACTTTCAAATGAAATTGGGAAGTTGGCTTTTGGGCAGCAGCTTCACAATTGTTAATTACTCATGAGGTGCTTGATTTCATTGTTTCTCTTAGACTGGTCTGTTTGGTGCAACAACTACATCAGCTGGCTCTAGTTTGTTTGGAGCACAAAGTACAGGCTTTGGTCAAACCCAGACTGGTACAGGTGGACTGTTTGGGCAAACGGGTTTTGGATTGGGTCAACAACAGGTAAGAGATGTGCACCTTGTATGGAAAAACAAACAACAGTGCATGGAAGTACTGCCCAATAGCCTCTATGTGAATGGTCATAGACCAGGGTTTCACCCACAAACTGGAAAGTTAGAACCACCATGTACAGCATAATAAACAGTGCCACATGAAAGTACTGCTCCTTAGCTTTCATTTGAATCATCACAATGGTCACAATGAGCGTTGGTCTGCAGACAACCACCTTGTAATCTTAAAGTCTTTAAAAAGGATTTAATAAATGTAATTTTGTTCTTTGCAGCAGGCAACAGCTTTTGGAGCCAAGCCATTTGGGAGTAAGTAATTTACTGGGTACTGTTGATTTTGCATTACAGTTATACAGTGTACAGTGATGTGTAATGCAGTAGAAATTTGTTGATACTCAAGTTAGATGTAGGTATACATGTACATGTAAGTATGGTGTCTATGTATGTACATGTACACATGTATATGGCCACATAGAAAGCTTCTTTTCACTGTTTCATTTTAGCAGCTCTGGGCACTGGAACTACTGGCAGCTTGTTTGGTGTACAGAATAAAACCCAGACAGGATTTAACTTTGGCAGTGGTACCGCTGGCCTAGGCACAAGTGCATTTAATGCTGCTTCAAGCACACCTGGAGGCCTGTTTGGCGCTAAACCTACGGCATTTGGTGGGACAGCCTTTGGTGCGAACACTGGCACAGGACTGTTTGGAACCACAGGGACCCTTGGTACAGGGACAGGCCTCAACACAGGGACACTAGGAACTGGTTAGTGTCTGATTGGATTATGCCCGTTGTTTCATTGTAGATGGAAATTATTAGCACCTGCCAACTCACCCAGATAGTGGAAGGTATGGTGATGTAATGGTTAGCACCAGTACTTTGAACTCTGGAATGAGTGATCCACTCTGCCTTGGTCATTGCCAGGGACATTTTTCACTTGCAATAATTATCTGTAATGATTTCCATACCAAGATATGTGTCTTACTCCTTGAACTAAATTGAGGGTAAACCCAGATACATACAGATGTAACAGTAATTATGTAATAATTATTATGTAATAATAATTGTGCTTTTATTCATCAATTTTAGTCATTCATATTTTATTACATGTATGCTTTTATTCATCAATACAGGTGCCTTTGGTGCTTTGGGCTCTCAGCAAACTACTGGGCTTGGAATAAGTGCTCTTGGAGGGTAAGACTGTCACTAATATGTCTTAAATTGAGGTACATTTCGGGGCTTAAACATAGTCCCTATGTGCCTTTCTCTTAGATTTGCCGCGGTCTTTGGCGTCTGCCACAATCTAAGAGCCAGGGAGTTCATTACAGGTTTGAGCAGGAAGGCAACATGTTCTGAACTGAACTTCTTTGTCTGAAATAATGTCCATCTCAAACCAGGTGGGCAAAATTGTTTTCACAGCCAGGCAATTTGTCCTGTGCCTGGCTCAGGAACCTCAACCCAAAGCTGTTCCTTTCTGGTGCTACAGTACTTTTTGCTTTCCCTTTTTATTCCATTGTATATTTGAAAATGTTTTGCCCAGGTACTGTGTATTTGGCCCAACAGTCAAACTTCCTCCTGTTTTACACTATCAGTAAGTGAATTTTTATTTTATTTTCCCCTCTTCAATCTAACAGCAACCAGACTACAGCACTGAATGCTCTACAGCTACAACAACAGCAGCAGTTGCTGGAGCAGCAGCTATTGATTTTGTCCAACTCGCCATTTGGTGACTCGCCACTCTTTCGCAATTCATTAGTTGTAAGTGTACAAGCTATATTTTTTCCTCATATCTTTTCATTGCTGTACCTGTAGTAGAGGTGCAGTAAACTAGTTGTTAGTGTGTTAAGCTCTGGGTTCTAAGGTATGGCACAAATGCTTCTTTGTGTTCAGGAGTACAAATGGATAACGGCGACTTGTTTAGGCAGCCTGACAAAATGTAGGGCTATACCTGGGCTAATGTACTAGCTCCGGGGGTCTAGAGGTTTTGGGGTCCAGGTGTAGAGCGGTTTAAGTGTCTAGGCATGTACATGCAGAGGTCTAAGAGTCTCGGGCTCTAGGGGTCCATTGGTCTAGGGGTTTAGAGGTCCACGGGTCCATGGATCAGGAATAGAAAATTGCAATACTCTGTAGCCAAGTTTGAAGATGAGTTTAACTTTACTGTTTTATAAAACTTTACAAACAATCCGAAATAGAAGTAACAGAATGTTTTACTTTGGTTTTCAGGAGAAGGCCAGGCCTGAGAGAGCCTCAGGTTCTACTTCCACTTCACTGAGTAGGACTTCCACCACTCCATCACACTACAAGGTTGAGTGTTACATGTACTAGAATCTACAATGTCTTAAGCTGACATAAGAGTAACTTATACATATTATTGTTCAATTGAGAACAGTTTTGTGCGTAGTTTTGCTACTTTTCTGTAGTGTACTATTTTGTTACCACTCTAATGTTTTGTACCATTATTTGCCAGGTGTCTCCTCGTCCAGCTGCGAGAATTAAACCAAGACCAATCAATAACCACACGATGAACAAGGTCACTTTAGTCAGATTGCCCCTGCTTTGTGACTGCATTCTTTCTCTTTGAGACGTTTTTTATTTCCCTTTATACTTGGCAATGTTTAGTGGCTTTCAAAATTTACGTTTTGTTTATGTATGCTTCTCTTCTTTGCAGTCCAAGCTGTTTGAAGGTCTGGAAGAAGATTCAGGCCTAAGTCCAGACACCTTTGTACCCAGAAAGAACATCAAAAAGCTTGTATTAAAACCCAAATCAGGGAGAGAGGTGCGTACAAGATCACTGATGTTACAAAGTGCTTGATTGTGGACGACAACGTTGTAAAGGGGTGTGAAGAGAAAGGCTATTGGAACAGTACACTTGCACGATGTTGTCATCTGATTACAACTACCAGAGTTCATTTTGTTTCTCCTTTATCATTTAATTTTTAAACCACACTGGGGTTTAAATGGCAATTGCACCAGTTAACACNTTTTTATTGTTTCCAAGGACATCAAAACTTTTTTATTTTGGCTAAAATTAATGTGTTCTGTGATAATGTTTTTGTCCCCAATTTTTTGTTACTCTAGGTCTGAATACTACACCATACCGCCACTAGCAGAACTCAACCAGAAGATTGACGGTAATGGGGATGTGTTCGTGGACGACTTTGTTGTTGGTCGGGAGGGCTATGGCCAGGTCAAGTTTTATGGGAGAACTAATGTAGCTGGGCTAAACCTGGATGAGATTGGTGAGTGAGTGTGCCTGTGATCTGTGATCATTTTTGACATCAATGGAAGGCGCTAATACAACTGTAATGAAGTGTGCTGAGTCTTGCTCTCTTGGCTGGGACAGTGAATTCTTGCCCAAGAACAAGTGAAGGTTTTTGTGAAAACCTTTGAGGAAATAAAGTTCTGTGAGAGATTAACTTTTTGGGGGGTAGAGAGAAGGATATTCAGGCTAGTACATTATAAGAACTTAATGACTAGCCCCAAGGGAAACAGTAAGTTTTGTTTCCCTGAGACCCTCAGTGTTCCCCTTGGCTTCACCTTGTGGAACATTGAGGTAGAGGGGAAACAAAACTCGCCGTTTCCCGTTGGACCAGTCATTAAGTGTTTTGTTATACCTTCCAACTCAAAAAAAGAAAAAAACTGCAAAGAAAGCGTTTGTTTGATGCGGGCTGGCTCGCAAATTTGCGGTGGTTTCAAAGAGCATGACCTGATCACGTACGAGTCGAAAGTTCAAGTTGTTGTTTCCCTAGGGAGTTAGTGAGTTTTGTTCGTCCTTGGGAGTTGTGAGTTTTGACCCATGACACGTGACACGTTCTCCTCCAATCGGAAAACGTATCTGAGTTGGAAGGTATAACAAAGTTACTTAACATCTTGCATGTGGTTGTTTCCTTTCACACCCTGNTTTGTTACTCTAGGTCTGAATACTACACCATACCGCCACTAGCAGAACTCAACCAGAAGATTGACGGTAACAGGGATGTGTTTGTGGACGACTTTGTTGTTGGTCGGGAGGGCTATGGCCAGGTCAAGTTTTATGGGAGAACTAATGTAGCAGGGCTAAACCTGGATGAGATTGGTGAGTGAGTGTGCCTGAGATCTCTGATCATTTTTGACATCAATGGAAGGCGCTAATACAACTGTAATGAAGTTTGCTGAGTCTTGCTCTCTTGGCTGGGATAGTGGATTCTTGCCCAATGAACAAGGGAAGTTTTTTGTGAAAACCTTTGATGAAATAAAGTTCTGTGAGAGATTAACTTTTTGGGGGGTAGTGAGAAGGATATTCAGGCTAGTACATTATAAGAACTTAATGACTAGCCCAAGGGAAACAGTAAGTTTTGTTTCCCTGAGACCCTCAGTGTTCCCCTTGGCTTCACCTTGCGGAACATTGAGGTAGAGGGGAAACAAAACTCGCCGTTTCCTGCAGGACCAGTCATTAAGTGTTTTGTTATACCTGCCAACTCAAAAAAAGAAAAAAAAACTGCAAAGAAAGCGTTTGTTTGATGCGGGCTGGCTCACAAATTTGCTGTGGTTTCAAAGATCATGACCTGATCACGTACGAGTCAAAAGTTCAAGTTGTTGTTTCCCTAGGGAGTTAGTGAGTTTTGTTCGTCCTTGGGAGTTGTGAGTTTCGACCCACGACACGTGACACGTTCTCCTCCAATCGGAAAACGTATCTGAGTTGGAAGGTATAACAAAGTTACTTAACATCTTGCATGTGGTTGTTTCCTTTCACACCCTGTAATAAATAAGGGTGGCACACATCTTTTCTTAACAGTTTATTGAGGCACGTGTATTACAAAATTAGAAGTAAACAGTACGGTACATGCAAGCCTGCTTATGTGTTGTTAACGTTTGATGACTTAATCAGTTGTCACAGTTGACAACTTGGGCTTAGTTTCAGAAATATTGCTTACATGCCCAATTGAGATCTTAACAGAATTGCATTTGATTTAAGTAAATTGTGGTTTCTCGTTATATTCAAACACATAGTTGAATTGAATTGATGTTATATTTTCAGTGTTCTTCAGGCGTCGTGAGATAGAGGTTTATCCTGACTCGTATCCTAACAAACCTCCTGTTGGTGAGGAACTAAATAAGAAAGCTGAAATCACCTTGGAGAAAGTTTGGCCAAATGACAAGACTTCTCACAGGCCAATCACAGTGAGTTTAAAACTTTACTTCCATTCATTTATCGTCTGGAAAGTTCTTTTTTGTTTCCAATAGTTTTGTAGTATACTTGTACATTGTAACTGCAGCCTTTTAAAAGTTTTTTCTTTCAATTTAAGCATTCATACATTTACTGTACAAATTAATTCATTTGTTCATGTTGATGTTATTTGGCATGAAATATTAAAATTAATAAGGACAAAGTATGGTAACACGAGACTGCATTTTGAAACTGCATTATGTGATATTATTGATTGTTTTTGCAAATCCAAGGCTACCTAAAATCAACTGCTTCGAATTCTTGAGTTAAAAGTAAGTCAATGCTTCTCCAGCCTGATGTTGAGATTCATGGCTTTTTCACAGAGTCCAGAAAGACTCAACCTTCTGGGATGGCAAAAGAGAGTGGAAACTGCTACGGAAAAACTAGGAGCCTCCTTTATTAATTATGACCTCGACAATGGAAACTGGGTGTTCACAGTAAGTTAGCTGTTTTTTTGTACTTGTATTTTCTCCACTTGACGATGTGAATACAGTATTGTTAAAAATACAGTCGAACCTCTGTGAACGGCCACCTCGAAAATGGCCACTTTTTCTTGGTCCCAGTGGACAGTGCATACATTCACTCTTATTCTAACCTGTTCAACTGTACCTTTCTAAGGACTAATATTTTTTAGTACGTGTATGCTCTTTTCGCTGACTGAAGGTTACTGTAATCAAAAATATTTGATTCTTTACAGGTAGATCATTTTACCAGATATGGGATGCACCAGTATCTGGATGATGACGACAATGCTGCAAAGAAACTGAAGAGACCACCAATCAAACCGCAGTTACAGGTACAGTAAAGTCCCTGCTATAAATTGACACATCATGTAGGCAGTCACCTCCCGTCAGCAGACACTTAGTCGTATTGCAAACCTGGATTTGGACATCATGACAGCATACATGTAGGCTGTGTTCACACTTCGTGCCTGAGCGCTGGTGCCTACGCACCAGCACAAAATGATGTTCTGTTTAGACACGGCATACTCCAAAGACCCAAGTACCGTTTTGTGCCCAAGTGTAAGGTACTTGGGGACGGGCACTGTGCCTGAATTCTTGTGTGAGTACTTGGAGAAAAGGTGTGTTCACATTAGTATCCAGCGAGAATTGTACTCAGACACCATGCCCGGACATCAAGTGTGAACGTAGCCATAGTGATATATTGCTTTGTGCACTGGAATCCAGATCAAGCAGTCTGGGTTTGAGACCTGGCCGAGGTCAATGCGTGGAGGTTTTGGACAAGGTACTTTATTCTCACTCTCCACCTGCAGTAGGTGTATAAATGGGTACCAGAGAACTTAATGCTGGGGGGTAAACTAGCATCCCATCCGGGGGGAGTAGAAATACTCTAAGTCGCTTCATGGTACTTTACCTTGCAAAAGTAGACATTCTTTAAGTCGACAGTAGTTCTATTTCTAAGGCGTCTGCTCACATGAGATTTAACTTTACTGTAAATGTGTGAAAGACAAGAGTATCTTCATTAAACTACATGTATGTTGTACATCAATTAGTTTTTTTTCCTTTGGCAGGATGATGGTGATTCTGTGGAGAGAGAGAAAATGGAAATCTTCAGACATCTGCAAGAAAAGAAACAGGAATTTGAAGCGTATGAGAAGGAAAAACAAAGAGCTGCGCTCTCCTTACGAGACCAGGACAGTGACATGCCTGACATAGACCATGAAACGTTTCCTGGTACTAAAGATCTATAACAAATTTTAAGACTTTATTTTATCTGTAATGAGTTACATATAATATTCACCTCTAAATCATAAAGCAGTGGAAAAACTACTTTCAAAACGTGGTCACTAAAATTATGAGAAAAACTTATTGATCAAAATTTGTTATAATCACAAATTTTCTGCAAACTACAGTAGCGTTGCTGTTGTAAAACACGTCTTTATTAATGCGTGAACCGTTAGCTTACAAAATAGAATATACAGCATGTGAAATACAACATACTAGTAAACTTTAGTTGTTTACATGGAAGAGGCACTACTTCTCAGGAAGACGTGTTTTTTTGGTAATCAGACTTTGAATGAATTGTAAGCAAATATCAAGGAATGTCGCACGAGGCAGATTACACATACAAAAAATGTCAAAATCATAAATCAAGGTTAGGTTTACTGGCACAATAAAGTCAAATTTTACATCACGAATTATTAAAACTAAGTTGTAGAATGTGAGTTTTTCATTGTCTCTCAGAGGAGATGCTTGAAGGCGCTATGGGAGAAGAAGGAGAAGATCTTGAGGAAGAAGACCTGGATAATTCACCCGCCAGTCACCAGCTGGCGACAGCCCTGGGAATGAACGCCCATCGAATCCAAGTCATGAAAGCGTCATTCTTTGCCGACCAGTCTCAGCTGTCGTCATACTTACCCAGGGATGCCCCCACTGTCGACAAGGCTCTTTTCAGTGGATCATTTGGCAAAGCTGGCCATTCAAAGAGTTCCATGTACCCAGCAGTCAAGCCACTGGGGCCGCTACTGTCTCCTAAAGTAACGCGCTGTGTTGATGAGTCAGGGCAGTTTTCTCAGTCACTGTTTGGAAGCCCTAAAATAGGTAATTTATTGAGTTGCCCATCCTTTTGAGTGCAAAAATAATGGAAAGCCACGCCAGCCTTGTTAATCCCCAAAGGTCTACCCAGTGCTACAACTGACAAAAACAATAAATAACTAATTGCTAGTGCTAACATTCATTACAAGGTCAGGAGGATCAGTTTGACTTGATGTCTACTCTCTTCTCGCTCGTTATTTTATATGTACAGTGGAACCCGGTTTTCGTAATCCGATCGGAAAACCTTAGAAAAAGAAAAACACAGCAATGTTCTGGATGTGTTTTCCAATCAACAAAAAACAGAGAAAGAAAAAAAATGAAGAGAAGCTGTAGTTGCGCGTCTGCACTGGTTGCTTTCCTCCGAACCTCGACACTGGGACAACACTTCTTTTTAAGCAGACACTGCATCTCACTTGTAACAGCATTAAAGGAGCTACCTCACGGTTTGTGCATCTTGAAAAGTTTGGCCTAAATTCTTCGAGTTTGTCGTTTGTAATCCATGTCAATCTTCTCCTTCCTTACCCATCCTTGTTCCTTTTATAGTTTATTATTATCTCTTCTTAATAAACTATTATTTTCAGGTTTCCCTCAATTTAAAGGTCATTTTGTACGTGGCCAAAATTACTCAAACACCGTGATTGTGCTCCTGTAAAGTGCTTTGTTTGTTTCTATTGTTCCACACTGCAGGCGTGTATCCTCTCCGGCACCCTCTGGTACATGACATCACTCCAGCTGCTCCCTCCTCGCCGATGATGCTTCCAAGTTCCATTGGCTCTGCAATGGACATTGGTATCAAAGTCGTAGGAGCTCGAAACCAGTTTGGCTTGGTCCCTAAGAAGGACTCCCTCGTCAGTGGTAAAGAAAACCTCATTGCCGACGCAGGCCTGATGATGGGGCGTTCTTTTCGTGTGGGCTGGGGACCCGGGTTCGTCTTGGTCCATAGCGGTACTCCTCTGGGGAAGCGAGAGACAAAGCCTGCACCTACCACCCAGCCCTCCCTGGCGGGGGATTTCCTGACACCGAAGCTAAGGCCCAGTAGTAGTGAAGGGTCACCATCATTTGGAGTGACACTAGAGAAACTCAATGTGGCTTCAATCTCTAATGATGGCATCAGTGATGCCGTTTTGGTAAGTAGTTCTCATTCTGTATTTGGTTGACTATGGCTTGCTTTGGCCTTCCTTGGTGTGGAAGCTAGATAAATGGCCTGCTAGGATGCTACGCCTACAACACTACATCTTGTCAAGAGCAGCTCTGCCTAAATTTCAACTAGACCGTGAAATAGCGGAGAAAATGGATAGACATTCGCTCAAACTACAAGGACCTGATTTTCTCTAATAAACGGCTAGTGATGTTCTCTTAAAGTTGATCGATAGATCAATCACTCAGTCATTCACTCAGTCAATCAAGCAGTCACTCACTCACTCACCAGTCAATCAGTCACAATGGATTAACCATTACCTAAGTTCATTATCTATGCCTCTCGCCGCTTGATTGTAGCTCCTGGTGTTGGATATGGGTTTAGTTGTACAGCTTTCATGTATTAATTGCTGTAATAAACTTGTTTACTAATCCCAGGCACATCATCAGTCCGTACTTGAAGCGGAATTACAGCATGCTGTGGTTTCTGTTGATGATGGCTGCCCGTTTTTTCAACCCTCCACTGATGTGAAAGCGTTACATCATCATGCAGAAGTTGCCAGGAGAAACAAGGAAGCTACAGGTGACAAAACTACTCTGACAGAGAGACTTGAACACACAGTTTATCCTTGGAAACCAATCTCATAATATGAAACGTTTCTAAAACATGCACCTGCGTTATAAATCTCTGTACCTTTCTTTGCCGTCCTCTGCACAACAACAACGTGAATGACTAAATTCTGCGTATTTTGGGGAACGCTAACGACGGCGGCTAATTTTTCGTATATTTATTTGGATTTGAACGCTAGCATTACATATTTAGCTTGAGCAAGTTCTGAGACAAATAGACGCTCTGAATAGATCTAGACAATTGCGATATTCAAAGGTAAAATATAAATTAATTTTTGACTAGGCGTTGTCCTCGGGATCGCGGTCACCGCTGCTTAAGTTCTCTATTTTTAGCTCTTGAAGCTTGAGCGAGAAACGAGCGACGGCGAAAGTGAGCCAAGTAATCCATTTTAATCGTTGTTTTTTTTGTGGGTGGGTAGGTGGGTGGATGTGTCCTTTTAGCTTATAAAATTAGTTGTGTTATTATCAGACTCTGGACCACTGAGAGAGGCAGCAGAACAAGTTTGTTTGGTTTGGGATCTGGTCGTAGCTCTTTGGGGAAAACTGAAAGAGAATGGAGATGATGAAGAAGGTAAGTTGAAGTTTACTTCATAATAATTGCTTAGTAGGGCAAATTGTATGCAAATACCAAGGAGTGCAGGGATGGTCAAGGTTAAAAAGGATTAAAATAGATTTTAGTGCGATGCTAGCCTGAACTCGCAGTTATGAGTCTATTCTACCTCTTGGTTTGTGATAAAAATGCGAAACGACGTCAGAATAGGCTAGTCATTCTTAAAAACATGTTCCCCTCCATAAAGAAACGTGATAATGCTTTATTTCTGCTGAATGCACCGTATTTTCTTTAGGTTTGAAAGTTTTTTTCAGGCCTCGTCCACACTAAGCCGGAGAAATTTGAAAACGCAACAATCACCGGTCATTTTGGATTTGTGTTTGAGGAACACTCGGGCAGGAAATCCACATCATTATCGCAACCTCATCGTTTTCGAAAAGTTTCGTTTTCAAAATGTTTTCCGTCCACATTAAAACGCAAAGCCAGCGTTTTCAAATTTGTACGGTTTGAAGAGTGTTTTCGAAAAGCTCCGTTTTTGTGACGAATTAGTGTGGACGGTAGGCCTAACCGTAGAAACAAGGTTGCGTTTTCAAGGTTCTCCAGCGTAATGTGGACGCGGGGCCTCAGTGGATTGTATCATAAGCTTTTCAAATTGCGTAGCCAATCAAAAAGTGAAAAAATGCGCCTGCTCTGAATGCTCACGTGGCTCTCCTCTGACGTCTCCGCCAATCAGATTTACTCAGCTTGACTTCTGACTGGCTGAATTACTTGAAAGCCAACATAAAGATGTCAAAACAAAAATCAGCAGTTTGAGTGACAACTCGACAACACGCCTCTTGCGGCCAGTTTTCTCGCGTGATGTTAAAATCTCGCAGTGAAGTTTGTCTCCGCGTCTCTTAAATAACGAGCGAGTAAGAATTTTTTGTTGTTGTAGGTTTTGATAGATCTGTGGAAGAAAGAGAATCTTACCAGTGTCGCGTAGCAAGGAGAGCTGCTCTGTCAAATTGGTTGGCTGAAGCTGCGAAGGAAAGAATTTCTCAAGAGGTGGATGCAGCAAATTTCCAGGTAACCTCATAACGTCATGATTATCCTCTTAACTGCAGGTTGACTTTAAAGATTAATTGAGAGGAGAATGCTGTAGGATTTCTAAAGAAGTAGGGATCATTCAGTCACAGTTACGGTCAGCTTTTTTCTCCTTTGATGAATGGTTTTACAGGAATTTGACTTTCTTATACATATAAATTAAGATACTCCACCTGAGTGTCGGTATTTACCTTGCCTCGGTATACTTACCTCCACTTCACGAATAATTGCTGTGCATAAGTTTTTGTGTTATATGCTGGCGGAAGGTTCGTATCGAGAAAAACTTTGTCGAGGTCTTGAATACGGCCCGAGGCCGTAACGTCCGTTTCAAGGCCAACGGCAAGGGGATGTCTGCGGTCTATAACTCGGGGTTCGTATCATGAAAAACTTCCTGGCGTAATTGGCTAATCAAATTCTCGGATTCACTATTCCGTACCGCTGAGATGCTTGAGAAAAAAGTAGTTGCCGAAATATATCACTAGTGTTACCGATCATTGTGACACGCTCAGGCTGTCATTCCCTTTCAGGAAAGTGATCACGTGAAGTCCATCTTCAGTTATTTGACCGGCAAGCAGATCAGCAAGGCATGTCACGCGGCACAACAACACGGCGACTATCGACTGTCTCTTCTGTTGTCACAAGTTACAGGTAACTCCGTGGCAAGAAATCTTGTTTACAAACAGCTGGCTGACTGGCAAGAATTGAAGGTGAGACTGGCTCTGTAATACACGGCGTGGGTCTTTTGTTTTACCGTGTTGGTGTGAACTTTGCGGCATTTTCAAAGAACAGTTGGCGGAATCTCCTAGTTGCACTGCTTACAAAGTTTAAGTCTCAGTTCAAACGGGGTTTCACAAAGGTGGTCGTAACTAGAGATTTTCGCTTACGAGAGTTGTCACAAGGAGAGCTTCGACTGTATTTTATAACTTCAGAATCGTGGATTTTCATGTAATGATCATACAACGTGTTTCATATCGTTATGATTGGAGTATATTTGAGGGCAGTTGCCATGTGGTGTTCTTATCTTTGTCCACTGGATAGCGATTTACCAGTTTGATAGCGTTTTACACTTTGCCCCGCTCAAACAGAATCTGTCACCCATTGTTTTTATTCCAGGCGGACTTGTACATTAATGCAGAGAGAATTAAAATCTACGCTCTGCTCGCTGGCGCAATGGTGTGGGATATATCACGTGACACGGCCAATATACCACGTGGTGAACTTCAAAGCATACCACGTCACGTGGTTAACGTCTGCGAGGGACTGGATTGGAAAAGAGTTCTGGCCGTTCACCTGTGGTAAGGAGAGACTTTTTTCAGAGCGGGGGGAGGGGGTGGAATTTTACACTGGACAGACTGAGGTTTCCCAAGTTATCAAATAAATTAAGCACCAGAGACTGTGCTTCACCACATTCTAAACACCGAGAAGAGAGTTGAAAATGCGACGCAGAGGAGTATTTTTGGCGAATTTTTGTGTCTTTGATACACGATGTATCCTCTCATTCGAAACCAAAAAGAAAAAGAAAACTGAGAAATAAAATAGAAAAAAAACATCAACGCTAAACCTGAGAGCATATTTCTTACTGGACAGAGATATTTTATTCCTCAATTCTTGAAGTTAGAACTTGAGTTTCTGGAAAGAGGTTTCGTTATTCTAAGTTATTAAACTGAGATTTTTCTCAAGCCGTTTTTGTGTTTTTTTCATTGTTAGGTATTACTGCTCGCCAACATCTTCAATAGCAGACGCTCTGAAAGCGTACGATGCTGCTTTTAAGGTAAGTGGTTTTCTGTTGTTGTTGTTGTTGATGTTGTTGTTTTAACTCTCAATTCTTATATGAGCTTCCAAATTCGCCATAAAATGTTCTCATTCCTTTCTTTTTAACTTTGGAAAATTTGTTGTTCAAGGTGCTGTTGTACTTAAAAGGAGCTCAGTCACGGTTTGCACATATTGAAAAGTTTAGCCTCAATTAGTCAAATTCGTCGTTTGTAATCCGTGTTAATCTTCTCCATCCCTAGCCATCCTTGTTCCTTTATGGTTTATCATTATCTCTTTGGTGTTTTTCTATCTTATTAAACTGTTATTTTCAGGTTTCCTACCATTTAAAGGTAATTTTGTATGTGGCTAAAATAACTCAAAATAGCGTGACTAAGCTCCTTTAATCATAATGTCTCGGAACTTTGACGCGCCGTTGCGGGACTAATTGCGTGAAAAGTTGCCTTGTTACGTATAAAAACTGTCTAATCAACGCAAAAAATATTCTTCACTGCAGCGTCCTCGCAATCGTTGCGAAAAGTAGAACCACATTCCACTTTGTAAGACGCTGGCTGTAAGATAATGTCTTGTAAGGCGTGTTAAACTTAGGACGGAGATGTTGCGAGAAACTTTGCACGGAAAATTGTCTGGTATTGGAGCGCCTGAAGTTAAGAATTTTTTCTTAGGGTTTCTTCACCATGTGGCGGTTTGTTGTTCCACGTCTTCCACCGACAGAGTTCTTAAAAGAACTACGTCACAGTTTGTGTATCTTGAAAAGTTTAGCCTAAACTTTTCAAATTCGTCGTTTGCAATCCGTGTTAATCTTCTCCATCCTTAACCATCCTTGCTCCTTTATGGTTGATTATTATCTCTTTGGTGTTTTTCTATCCTAGTAAAGTATTATTTTCAGGTTTCCTTCACAATTTGTACTGATCTCCTGCAGGGATGCACGGCTAACGGTAGATACGGTGCACCTCCTCATCCGCCATTTATGGAAGATGACGATCACACGGATGAAGAAAACAAGTTCGTGACGAAGGACACGTGTTATCATCTGCTGAAACTCTACTGCAAAAGATCACACAGACTTGAGAGACTTCTCTCACCATCCACTTCCACTGCACTACAGCTAGATTTTAGACTGAGGTAAATGTTTTTCAGTCCAGCTTGTAGCCGTCTCAGGCAAAAACAAGTCGAGTGGTGAAGCTTGTTTTGACGAGGAATGACAGATAAACGAAGAGGGTTGGTGCTATTCTCATCCTCGCACACTACTTGACTTATTTCTCATCCTTGTTCGTCTTTAATTGAACTTCATCTAAACACGAGAACGAATTTTTGACTGTTAGCGCGCTGAGAAAAATCTTATTTTCTCATTTTCGTTTGATATAAGATCTAAACAATAAATGCTAAGAACAATGTGCAAGGTTTCCAAATTCTGATTAGCGGCTCTATTGTATTCTAAATGAAATTGCCAATATCAAATATATATTGCCGTTTAAATTTACGCAGTTGGAGCATCTAACTTCATTGAATCTTATGAATTTCCCAAGCCGTTCGTTTTGAAGCCCCCTTGATTAGTGACTTTAACATACAACTGAACATGATCGCAATAAATTGCGCAAACCTGAAAAGGAACAAAACGGAAAAGAGTTTACCGCAGCGCCCACACTACCCCAGAGAAATTTGAAAACGAAGCTTTATTTCTACGGTTAGGCCTACCGTCCACACTAATCCGTCACGAAAACGGAGCTTTTCGAAAACGCTCTTCAAACCGGAGGAATTTGAAAACGCCGGCTTTTCGTTTTCGTGTTGGTAATTGTTGCTTTTTCAGATTCCTCCGGCGTAATGTAGACTAAAAACACCTGATGCGTTTTTATATTGAAACCTCTGTTTTCAAATTCCTTCGGCGTAGTGTGGACGGGGCCTATGTGATGAACTCGGTGGTGTTTGCATAGTAATCTGTGAATAAACTTCACAAACTTGCTTGTTTTTTTCTTCAGCTGGCATTTGTACCAGGTCCTTCAATCGCTCGAGTACACGCATCTTTCCCAGGAACACGCGGGCATGTTACACAGTGGGTTTGCCGCTCAGCTGGAGGGACTGGGTCTGTGGCATTGGGCCGCTTTCGTCTTGCTACACATCCGGGAACCAGTGCGGTATGTTTTCCTTTGAATCAATAGTAGTAAGTGTCTTATTGTGAGTATGCCATGTTCGTTGAATCCTCGATAGCACCAGAAAATAACTCGAGCCCTCGCCGGTAAAGAGGCCTTGTGCACCATTTGAAGTAAATAGGTCCACTCGTCGAAATAGCGAGAATTTTCATATCAGCCTATATCACGTAGCTAAGCAGCATCCGAGCCGGGAATCGCGGGCTCGCAGCGATCAAAAGAGAACCGCACGTGTTAGGTTCTAGCTGCCGAATCTTTGCCCTCTATGTGCATTATGAGCAGTAATTCAAGAAGAAAGTTAAATGAAGCTTTTCACTGTAAATTATACAGTATTTAGATTTCTTTTTAATGTCGCTAGGCGAGAACACGCGATCCGGAGCCTTCTGTGTCGTCACTGCAGTTTGTCAGCGGATCATACTTATGTGGAGAAAGAACGCTTCATGTTAGACGATTTGAAGATTCCTGCTGAGTGGATTCACGAAGCCAAGGTAGGGAGAGTTACTTTTAGAACAAATGTTAATGTTTACTCATTTTTATCATTTTGCGCAACGTCCGTGCCATCAAGTAAACAACGTTTATTAGCTAAAGCGTGATTTTGTTTCCCTCCAGGCTTTGCGAGCGCGTTACGAAGGAAGAACTCGCGAAGAAGCTTTCCACCTCGTCAAGGCGCGTCACTGGAGCCTGGGGCATAACGTTGTTCTGTGCAGTCTCGCCAGTGACGCAATCATTAACGGTAGGAAGATAAAAATAAGGATGGGCAATCGTATAAATGCGAGTGCAATAGACCAATTTCGATATGTTAAAATTCAGCCTAAAACAATAGACCTCAGCACGAGGCTCTGAGGAATAAACCCCACAAACTCTGTAGTTATTCCCCAGAGCCTCGTACTGAGGTCTATTGTTTTAGGCTGAATTTTAATATATCGAAATTGGTCTATTTAGGATTTACACTACGAATGATATTTGAAGCTTCTCCCAAAACTGCACGAGCCTTTAGGCGAGTGAATTAACGTTGTTGCTGTTCAATTTTGTACAGCTACTCTCTTGTAAATTCAAACTGATTTATTTGTCGGTATCGTTTCTTTCCAGCGGAATATGACGTTTTGAAAACGCTGCTGGGGGAACTGGAACCAAGGGATCGTAACTCCACCGTGAGGGACTGGACAACAGGAGGACAGGTTGGTTGTGGACTGAAGCATATAAAAAAATACAGATTAAGAACGCACATCAAGTACATAGCGTAGCATTTTCTGAATCAGTAAACAAGAGGTTTGGGCTGTATTAGCTCTGCTGTTCGCCTGAAAAGCCTCCACCTAGATACGAGGAACTTTCCACGCGATAAATAACCTGCTTTGATTTCTTTTCCTGTGAATAGGTATTTTTGGATTATCTTGCCCTTGTGCAGAAGTTCCAGGACATCACAAAGGTAAAATTGAAGGTTGCATGTTGTATGTAACTTACATACAGGGATATTTTGGAAAAAAACAAGATAGCGTCCACCTTTAGGAGAAGTAGTTTTCCGATAAAAAATTATGAAGCCGGTGAATTGCTTTCAAAATGGACCTTGGCGACAGTGTTGTCAGTTTCTAAAGAAAGATCCGTGTTTTAGACTCTTGTGTAAAGTACTGATGGTCCCGGTGATCATTTAACGTCATTTACCCCAGGTATCTCAGAAACTCGCGCTTTTCCGCGTTCCTTGAGAAGTACGCACAGGACGTACCTCTCACATAGAGGTGAATTAAATTGAAAAACTCGGCAAAACAAGCATGAATTTTTGTTTTTGTTTTAGGAAAACTTCGTGCCAACAAAGTACGACTGGGAAGACATCCACGTGGAAGTTGCTTCTCTTTGTACGCGAATCAACAATTTGCCGTCCGACACACCCAAGAACATGTAAGTGGAAAATCCCTTTATCTGATATAATATGGACAAAAAACTAACGCAAGCTGATGAAAACAGTTCGAGCAAAATTTGAAGAGGTGAATGGATTCGCTGCCATTTACTCTTTTCCTTTCGTTTCTCTTGCCACAGTCTATTTGAGGCCCCGTCCACACTCCACCGGAGAATTTTGAAAACGTTGTTTTCACTCTTAAAGCGCATCAAATGTTTTCCGTGCACACTACACCGGAAAATTCAAAAGCGCAACAATCACCGGTCATTTTGGATTTGTGTTTGAGGAAAACTCTAGCGGGGAAATCACGTGATTATCGTGACACACTAAAACGAAAAGCTGGCGTTTTCAAATTCCTCCGGTCTGAAGAGCGTTTTCCAAAAGCTCCGTTTTCTTGAAGGATTAGTGTGTACGGCAGGCCTAACTGTAAAAATATAGCTGCGTTTTCATAAGACGAACAGTTTGCGATCTGATTTGTGCTTGGTTGAATTACATGTTGTAGGTGTTACTGATTGTGGAGTTTTCCTGTCCTGTTTTTCAGGTTATGTCAATACGATATGGCGAAGATGTGTGCCAATTTTTTGAAGATTGTCATGAACGAATTGGTAAGTAAACCAGTGCGGGGCTGGTGACGAAGTGTCCACTCTACGTTCACGCCAGTCACGGTCTGCTTAAATCAGTCAGGTTTTAAAGCAAAGAAAATAGCTGTAACAAGAGTCTTTGGCTGGTCCTTTGGAGCAGCGATATTGTAGGCAGATAATTGGCCCAGTTGGCAATGCAGACGTTTCCTTCGAACGTCTTCAGTCTTGTCAATTTTGCCGAACTTGCTTCGGGACTTGCTTCGGAAATTGCGTCGCACTGGGGAAGCGGGGCCCTTGAAAAGAACTCTGCATAGTGAGAAGTCATTAGAACCCACTGTACAAATCTGATTAATTTGGTTGAATCTGTTTTCTAAAGAAAGAAGCTTATTGTTCCTATTGTTCTTATTGTTGTCCTGTAGGCGGACCTCACAGATGAAAGTGAGTCCGTTTTGCCGACTCACGTGCTGGTCCCTCACGTGACCAAGTTACCCATGCCTGAGGACTGCACCCTGGGGGAACTGCGTCAACTGATCCCGAGTTACATCACGGAAATAACCGCTGGCTATTGAAACTGCGGGCAGTGAGGAGAGCGGGCGGTACCAGGGTTGTGTTGCAAGACAGATTTTAGAGCTGTGGGAGGACTTCAGCAAGGAACGTCGACTTATTATTTTTCGTTTCAGCACTCTTTAATCTCTGTGATTCGCCTGGCTGCAGATCACTAAGTGAAGCTTACAACTCAAGAGACGCTATGATAAAGCATGTTCCTGGTCTACAATGCTCTGTGATTGGTTAACCTAAGTTGTTTTGGAATCGTCGCCGAACTTAGTAACGGGGGCGTTCTTTAATCTGCCCGAAGCACGTTCTTGGTGTAGCTAAGAAAAACTGATATTACTTCCAAACTGGACGGTTCACTTGAAAGGTTGGCAAAAGTGAACTTAAATTTCTCTAACTTTGCAGAGACTCAACGAGTTACATTTTACAAACGTGATCTGTTTTCATAACAACATTTCAATAGTGGTCCATTGTGCATAAAGTTGTATGGAACCAAATGCTCCGCAATTCGTGCTGGTCAAAAGACCAGATGAGTCCAGCTATTAATGTTAGAAACTATCTATCGATTTGAAAATTTAGCCAAAGAAGTCTTGTGTGTATGGACAGCTACAGTCATAGCCTTTTCAGTAGTATAGGTAAATTTTGTCGTTGAAACTAGCATTTTTTAACTTAACGAGAGGTTTCTCCAACGAAAGTACAGAATTCCTGTAGAGAGTTTTGGTAATTTATGATGTAATTCTGATCGACTGATAAAATTTACCAGCATAAGAGCTGACTCTATAGTCGGCTGTGGACTGTCACGGACTAAAATTCCATGGTGCCTGTATGAAGAATTTGTGCATTATTACTTTGATAAATATCTAACAACCATCCGCCTTGTTATAAATAAAGAGTTTTTCACAGCCCGTGCGATATTGCTTTCCCACAAACTAAAAACGTAACAAAGTTCAAATATCAGAGAGCCGGTTTTAAAATACTCTCCGGTTTGTGGTTTCATGTTGTGGAACATTTTTTTTTTAATTGGATTCATAATTTGATGCACGAAGAGCTTGTATACTCGAACGGCTGTACGGAGGTTTCCCTGGGATAATTCTCCTAACCGGGGGCTTTTGCTGTCTGTATAATCGTAGGATAGCGCTTCAGTCGCAAACTTTTCTTCAGCTTTTGTTTTCTTTATTACTTCGTTCGTTGTTATAAACAGCAGGTCTGACACAAAATGAAAGGAACACACAAGACGCAGTCGTCGGAGAAAAATATGTGAGAAGCCTGTTTATCTTAAAATCACAACATGGATAAGTTTAGTTATCCAGGTACATGTACAGTGGAATCTCGTGTTTTCGAACCTCCAAGGGAAACGGAAGCTTGTTCGAGAAATCGGGAATTTGAAATAGGGGTAGAATTACAGTGACGGAAAAGCGAAGCTCGAGAAATGGCTATTTCTCAATATATATTTACGTTCAGTTCCGGATTTTAACATTCTTGTGCCTTTTCTAAGAGGACAAATCGAAAAATGGATTGCTACTAATTGCTTTGAACGGTAAACGCTTCTTGTTTGTCGGTCTCAGAGTAGAAGTCAATTCAAAAAAGCAAGAGCACCAAAGTAGAAACCAGATATGATTGAAAACCCTTGATTACGGGTTGTAAACATTTCCATGAGACTATAGGGTAGACAATCAGGAAAATAGTATTTCAAGTGCCACCGCCAAATTAGTTAGCAACGATTTCAACTTCGGTGCCAACGTTATCCATGGTTTCGCTTTGGAATAAGCAACGATAGAAAAATAACTGAACTACAGTGTAATCCCGATTTTTCGAACCTCCAAGGGAAACGAAATTGGTTCGAAAAATCGGATAGTTCGATGAATCGGGGATAAAATTAGTGTTCGACCGAGGAGGGCAAACGACTTTTGGTTAGATTATCGGGAGGTTCGAGAAATCGGGATTCTACTGTATTCCAGGAACAATTTGCATAGAAAGACTATTTTCATTTGTCTACCAAACTCAGCCGTCAGTCCATACTTGATTAAGTGACAATAAGGTAATAGCCAGAAGGTCTTGCTCCGATAAGAAACTACCAATCATTTGATTTATAGAGCCAAGATCTTGACAGACCACAGAGACACAGAATGTTTAGTACCGAACCGAAACTACTGTGTAAAAAAACATGGGCCCATGAAACTTAAAAAAAAAGCATACACGCGGACAGATATGAATATTCACGATTAGTACTGAGCATAATTACCTTATACAGTCGATTTTTATTCCTCAGACACCCGACAAGAAAAGAAAATTTTCATTGTTCTCTTGCTGGTACCCGTCTGTTACCAAGGCAACGCATGTACAGCTGAACAAACGAGTACCATCTAAAAGTTTAATTTAAATTTTAAATTTTGATCTCCTTGACAACGGATGAATAAAGTCAGTAGATAATCAAATGAACTAGGAAGTTTGTATCACGACCTTTTAGCGGCAGCGTATTTGATTGAAACAAACTAAAATCACGAATTGTTGTTTCACTACCACAAACGCAAACACTTTTTGGTCCCGTCTGACCCGTCATCGAAGGTTTCTTTAATCTGGGGTTATCACGTGACTCTACGTCACCAGGCGTTTAAAAAAACTCCGGCTGCTTTGTGTTAGTGTAAGAGTTGATAAATATAAATAGGATGGATTCGACCAGCTTTGAGAACATCAAGTCGGCTGTACAGGGACGTAACTTCAAGGACGAGAAGTTAGACGCGTTGAAGTCGACCCTCTCCTGTTCTTATGGATATCTATCCGCCGAGCAAGTCGCTCAACTTCTTCCGGAGTTTTCCTTTGATGATGACAAAGAAAACGTCGTCGAGATTTGCGCTCCGCGGATGTACAGCATCAACTGCGAGCAAGCAACATCTATACTGGGTGTTTTCTCGTTCGACAAATCGAAAATAAAAGCCTTGGAAGTTATTGCTTGCCACATCGTTGATAATAACTTGGCGGCTTTGGACAGTGCGTTCGATTTTTCCAGCGACAGAGAACGAGCGAAGGAGATTCTCGTAAACCGGCCCCGCTCCGGGATGCAGCCTGGATTACCTCCACAACTTTACCCGGGTACTGGGCCTCCGCCCGGAGGTTTCCCTGGGATGGTACTCCAACCAGGAGGTTGCCCTGTACCAGCACCGTATCCAGGACAGCCGCCTTACGCGGGACAAAGCCCTTATCCTGGAGCAGGACCACCCGGGGGGATGTGTCCTCCTGGTCAGTATCCCTACGGACAACCTGGCCCGGGTGCAGTTCATCCACAGTATCCACCTGGTACAGTGCCACCTCAGTATACACCCCCTGGGGGATATTATCCATATGGAGGTGCAGGACAATAAATTGCATTTATTCGTGTAAAACTTGCAGGGGCGCAGTTAATTTTTCAGGGCAGTCAGAAATTAAGAATAAGATATAATCTGAGCGCGTACGTATGTAAGACTGCAACCCTGAAATATGCCTGCCTTTGACATAACAGAACTTGTAGTTTACTGATTTTCATTTCTTTGCTTCAATATTAGCTTGCTTGTTATTAACTGTGCGTGGTAATACCATGCATAGAAACGGAAATAATGAAATAAAGTTGTGTTGTGCTTGCAGTACAGGGTGCTAAAAAATGGACTGTAGTTTAATCTTAGACGCCAAGAAAAAAATACGACATGATGAATTCATTTATAACAAGCTATATATCTGTCATCCTCGCAGACCTAGGAGCTGCTTATCGGGACGATGCGATATTTTCGGGCGAAAGTTTACTTCAAGAGCAGACAAGCCCCTGGGCACTTATTCTTACCGAAGTTTTACCAAACCAGTTCCAGACGTGTTCGAATTCGGTCCCGCTGATTGGCCAGAAAACAAATAATCAGCGAGGAGATTTAGCCGGGCGACTCTGTGGTGTTCTTACACGAAGTGGTTGAAGCGAGTTAATTGGCCAGGGAAGGTTCCAGAAAAAGAGATTCAACGAAGCCGAGGAAATCACAAGCAGTAGCATGGTCGCAAGGGAACAATATTCGTCGATCAATTTTCACGGCAGACTTTTCGAAGGTATATCGTAAATTTACATCGCTAATGTACGCGATTTCTACACTTATACTTAGCAATCTAAAAAGTCAGAATGTCTCGGGCTCGCCAAGAAAAACGCTTGTCTCGCCGTCTCGCAAAGTCTCGCATTTACCATTCACCACCCCTCTTATTAACCGAGCTGGAGGTCTGTATCGGTCGTGTGTACAGACCTCGGTCAAGATTCTCCCATACAGACCGACTTAGCTCGGTTAATAAGATGTTTATTATATGGCAAAGAAGAGAACTTTAATTCGTTTAATTTAGTTGGTTTGCTGACATTTTGCTTGCAAACGAAAATGAGCTTAACTCCGCTTAACTTAAACCTGCTGAAATTTGCTCTTCCTCTTTACTTTTTTTCTTTTTGCCATCAGGCTTTTTGGCACTCCCATAAATGATTGAGAAGAAACAGGAGCCGTAATTATGGCTCCTGGAAGAAAATAAAAGAAAAAGGTGAACATTTTTGTATTTTAGTTTGCTACTTTTTCAACGCAAAATGAAACCGGTCTAGATGCCGGTCTAGGTGGGAAAACCTAGACCGCGGTCAATATCGATTTCAGCCAATCAAATTCGTGAATTTGGTAGTTCCCAGTCCTTGTGAGACACAGCCATATAATAAAAGTGAATATATGACTTATTATATTTCTCGACTTCTGAAACTTTCCACGATGTGCGAATCTCCGTTGCACTGGCCATGCAACTCTGTCGATCGAGTGTGGGGAGTATCTGCCAGCTGCATTTTTTTTAATATGAGGGTTTTTCTAGACTTGAAAAACTTACTTGGTTTGTGTGTCCGGAAGGCAACTGTAAACATGAAAATTCTGGAGACTTCATGCGAGTATGACGGCAAGGTGAAGAAATAGAAAGCCTGAAAGGCAGCCACAGAGCAAAGATACTGTTCAGCTGTATTACTATATGAATTTATATGAACAGCACTTTTGAGTTGAATCTTTTGACACCTAACCATGGCCAATGTAAATATTTGACAACAATCCTAAATGTAAATTGCCTTTAAAAAGATAGCGAAATGAATATTACTATGCATAAAGCAGAAACAAAATAAAGTTGACCCGTCCATGCTATTCTTAGTTTTCCCTACAATAAGGTGTCATTTCTTGGGTTTGGGCCTTAAATAGGGTGTCATTTTTCATGTCCTTCATCCTTAAATAGGGTCAGGATTTAAGACCCTTCGAGGCAAACAGCTATCCGAAATTTCTGGAAGTACCCCCCCACCCCCCCTCCTGATCACAATAAACAGCAACATTGTTTTTTGATAGAACTTCGTCCAGAACATGACCCTGAATTTCTCATCCCTGGTCAGTGACTCCGGGCTTTCATACAACAAAGCAAATTCTCCCTTTCCGTCCAATATCTCTTTATCACTCAATCTGGTTTCCCTTGTACCAGACATGACTAATCAATGTCACGTACATTAGCGATATAAATCACGTACATTAGCGATAGAAATCGCGTACATTAGCGATATAAATTTACGATATACCTTCGATAAGTCCACCGTGAACATTCATAGGTCAGCCAAAAAATGATAATCTACTGAGGTCCGCAAACTCGTGGCTTGCGTTACAATTTTATTTGTGTCACGCAAAGAAAATTACGCCAGACCCTGGTGGTCAAAGTGGGTGTGGGCGGGTCTGAGTTCAGGAAACAGAGCGCGGGAAGATTTTTTAATTCAGTGATGTTGAGATTCCTTTGAAAGCTTTCGCATTGTAATGTCGTAGTATTAGCATGAAAGAATTTCGTGGTAAGAAATGTAAACTTCCTGTGGGTTTTATTGCATAGGTAGCGTTGTCTTTTGTGAAAATTCAGGCGATCAGTCTTAAAACAACGTGTCAAAGCGAACAACTCCGCTTGACAATCAGTGGAATTGTGAAAAAAAGTATAATAATTATACTTTTTACGAATTATTCGTAAGGGGAAATTTGTAAATAGCCAATTCTTCAGTGAAATGGGCGAAAACTAATAGAATTCTTTGGGCTGAAACTCGGAACTTTCATGAAATTGTTGAGGGCAAATATATTTTTAATTTAATTTAATTTGATTTAATTTTTTTAAAATTAGTATTTTTTAATTTAGTCAATATTTGATGGTTTTGGTACGTTTTTAGTTAATTTTTAGCGAACTTTTAAACCTGTAAAGTGCTGTTGAATCACCGGAAAACAGCACTATATAAGTGTCATTATTATTATTATTATTATTATTATTAT